AAATTGCATACAACAATCCAGTTCAACCTGTGAATGAGCTTAAAAAGCTCTGTTCCGTTAGACACCTTGATGCTAAGGTATCTAATGTAATCAATCTTCCTGAGACTGGTACCCACCAAGTAAGTTGGATTGTAATTTTTATCATTCCACAGTTTTCAAGGAAAAAATCATAAGAAAGAACTGTACGAAGGAGAGTTTGATTTAGTTCCAGAAGCCGTGTGGCCAACTCCTCCCTGTAGGATAGAGTTCACCATGTTTTTGTAAAGGTTGTAAAAGTTCATCCTCAAAACATTTATAATAAGAACCTGATAATTCATCTGGTCCAGGCATCTTTCCTAGTTTAATCTTTTTTATAGCTTCAGAAACTTCCCTTATTGTTATAGGTCTGTTCATAATCTGTCTCTGTTCCTCTGTAATCCTTCGTAAATTTTGTCTCTTTAGATATTCATCTATTTTTTCTAAAGAGATGTTACTTCCATTATACAAATTGGGATAATATTGATCAAATGTTTTTTGTATGGCTGCATTGTCCATTAATACAGTATTTCCCTCTTGTAATTTCAGTATCATTTTCTTTTCTTTTTCTTTTTGTAATTTATAAGCTAGCCACTTCCCTGGTTTATTTGCAAACTCAAAATTTTTTGCTTTATATAATTCATTTTTATTTCCATTTCTCTTAGTATTAACATAAATAATTGTAGTTATAAAAACTTAATTTGTTGAGAAATACTTATCTTCTTTGGAAATTTCTTTCATTCTTCTTTTCTCTTTATTTCATTCAAAATAGCTTGGGTTTTCTCTTAACTCTTCTTTTTAAGTTCACTATTATGTTGGATAAGATAACCTCTAATAAAAGCTTTACTTGCATCCCAAGCCATTCTTAAATCAGTGCCTTTACCTAAATTATTTCAAAAAATTCTTTTAATTTCTTTTTACAATCCTCCACTATTGCTTCTTTCTGTAGCAACATTTTGTTTAGTCTCCATCTAAAAGAATTAGAAAAAATTCTTTTAATTTCTTTTTACAATCCTCCACTATTGCTTCTTTCTGTAGCAACATTTTGTTTAGTCTCCATCTAAAAGAATTAGATTTTCTTTTATAAACCTAACTCACAGTATTATGATCTCAAAGGTCTTTGGTAATATCTCTACTTTAGAAACGTTAGTAGCCAAGTTCTTTGAAATCCAAATCAAGTCTATTCTTGAAAAGGATCTATGTCTTTCAGAAAAGTAGGTACGCTCTCTTGAATTGCCATTTTTCTATCTCCATATATCAACCAGCCCTAAACTGTCCATCAAATCAAAGAAAAATTTGGTAATTTGCCTTGCGTGATTTTAATACTTTTCTCAGAAGTTCTGTCCAGTTTTGGGGAATCACTCCATTCCAGTCTCACATCAAAGACCAACTTTCATAAGAGAAACCTATTAATCTCTCCATAAGTTGTTTATAAAACAATATTTTGTCCTCGCTTGGGGCAAAAATTCCCAGTATCAAAGTCTTAGTCCCATGCAAATTAGCTTCTACCCCAACAAATCTACCATACTCATCAGTCAGTACAAGTTCTGGTTTTAGTTGGGGATTTATATACAAAACAACCCCATTTCTTTTTTCTTTTTGTTCCTGCTGAAATAAATTCTTCACCCAAATTTTTATAAATCAAATATTTTATGTC